AATAAATAAACTCTTAAAAAAACAAAAAAACTAGGGCACCTGGGTGGCTCAGTGGGTTAAGCCGCTGCCTTCGGCTCAGGTCATGATCTCAGGTCCTGGGATCGAGTCCCGCATCGGGCTCTCTGCTCAGCAGGGAGCCTGCTTCCCTCTCTCTCTCTCTCTGCCTGCCTCTCTGCCTACTTGTGATCTATCTCTGTTAAATAAATAAATAAAATATTAAAAAAAAAAAAACTAATAACCTTAAAAAAAAAAGAAGGTGTATCTATGACTGAATTATTTATTTAAATAAATGTGTCTAATACATGTGGGAGCCAGACTTTATGTGTTAGTGTTTATATATTGCTGTGAATAGAGGTTCCTTGTATTCCAAAGACCCCTCTTTCCTGTATCCTCTCAGCTCTCATCCCTACAGTGACATCCAGGGACTTTATATCTGTCCCATTTTCCTTCCTGTCCCCATTCCCTTGAGGTCTCTGGGCTGATGGAAGAATTGAATCAGGAAGATGGGGGAAGGTGGGTGCTGGACTTCACAGATTTGTGTTGCATAATGAAAAAAATGGATGGAGCTTAGAGCATGAAGGGGTGAGGGTGCTGTAAGGTAGAGAAGGACTTAACAGTTAATGGGGCTACCCATAGGCATGGCCACATTCACTGGCCATTCATGTCTGCCCTGGGCTTGGACCAACTGAAAAGACAGGTGTGACCTGCCACCTTTCTCTCCTGTGGGCTCCCAGCCCCCAGAGGGGTACCAGGCAAGGAAACCATGCTTCCAGTTTCTGCAAGGGCAGGCCCAGCCTTCCCTGCCAGGAACTGGGAACTCAGTAGCCTATGCAAAACCAGACCTCAGAGCAGGGACACAACACCCATGTGTCAGCACCAGGCTCTTGCTGAAGGCCACAGCCTTACAAGGCTTCTGGTGCAACTTGCTCCTCACACACATTCCACTAACCCTTTCTGGCTACAAAATGAATCATTACCCTTAACTTAACCCTGCTAAGTCTCTTCAGCTTTTATGGTTCTTAAAGTCTGAATCTTTGCCAGAGCCTTCTTGATAGGACCAGAGCAATTTATGTACATTTTATAACACTGTTAAAGGGGAACTTTCATGGTACAGTGGGCTAAGCATCTGACTCTCACTTTCAGCTCAGGTCATAATCTCAGGGTTGTGAGATCAAGCCCCACGTCAGGCTTTGTGTTCAGCCTACTTGAGTGTCTATGTCCCTCTCCCTCTGCCCTTCTCACTCGTGTACTCTATCTCTCCCCTAAACAAATAAATCTCTCTTTTTTAAGATTTTATTTATTTATTTGACAAGCAGAAATCACAAGTAGGCAGAGAGGTGGGCAGAGATAGAGAGAGAGGTGGAAGCAGGCTCCCTGCCCAGCAGAGAGCCCGATGCAGGGCTCGATCCGGGATCATGACCTGAGCCGAAGGCAGAGGCTTTAACCCACTGAGCCACCCAGGTGCTCCTAAACAAATAAATCTTTAAAAAATAGTTTTAAAAGGCTGTATTGAAGCCAAATGCAAAATAATACATACTGTACAATTCCATATGTATAAAATTCAAAAATAAACAAAACTAATCTATAGTGACAGAGATTAGATCACTGATTTCCCATGTGCATAAGCATTTTTAAGAAAAGGAAAATTCAGTGATAGAAATGTTTTATATCTTGGCTGGTCTTTCAGTTACACAGGTTAATATATCTATCAAAGCTTATCTAACTAAATACTTAAAATCTGTGCATTTCACAGTCTGTAAATTTTTTCCAAACAAAACTATATGATAGGGTTTTTTTCAACCACATAATAATTTAATATTAGGGGCGCCTGAGTGGCTCAGTGGGTTAAAGCCTCTGCCTTCAGCTCAGGTCATGATCTCAGGGTCCTGGGATCGAGCCCCGCGTCGGGCTCTCTGCTCATCAGGGAGCCTGCTTCCCTTCCTCTCTCTCTGCCTGTCTCTCTGCCTACTTGTGATCTCTGTCTGTCAAATAAATAAATAAAACCTTTAAAAAATAGCTTAATATTATACAATTTTAAAAATAGATTATACTATATAATCTTTAATAAACTGTACTATAAAGCTTTATTATATAATAGTTTTATACTTGAAGGTAGTAGTCAGTGATCTCCACTTCAGTTTTAATAGCTCCCAGTCTTTTGTCTTAAAATAATTATCACATTTCTCATTCATTTCTTCATTCATTCATTCACCATATTTACTGAGCACCTGCCGGGTGCCAGGTCTGGAGAAGTTGGGGAGACAAGGATGAATGTGTAGGTCACAATTCGGTAAGGGAGAAGGACTTGCAGACAGATAAGTTTAGGCCAAATTATCAAGGACTACTAACTAAAGCAGCCCAGGAAAAAACATATACGGCTGGCCAAGGGAGGAGGAGCTGACTCACACAGAAGATGACTATGACTTGGATCATAAGGACGTGGCAGGCATTTACAAGGAGGAAAAAGGGAAACGTCAGGCAAGCAAGCACCTCGTGCAAGATGAGGTGTGACACCGCCAGCAAATAATCAAAAGAGCTGTGGGACCAGACAGGACAGCACAGGGAAATAAATGAATCCAGAGGGTTAACTGTGTCGTTTTAGATGTCACATCAAGGAAGTGAGATTGCCTTCAAGAGGAAGTCAACAGATTGCTTTAACGTGTTGTGGGATTAAACATTTTTTCCAAGCAAGAACACTCTGCCTGTGTGAGTAGAAAATAGAGGCCGGAATCCAGTAGGGATTGGAAGTCTAGGGCTCTTGTAATATTCCAGGAAAGAAACAAATCCAAGACCACAAAAACATAGAAATGGGAATCAAGAAATGGGATTTCAAGAGGTTTCTGCCTACCAGCTTTTTTAAAAATAATTTTTTTAATAAACATACAATGTATTATTAGCTCCAGGGGTACAGGTCTGTGAATCGCCAGGTTTACACACTTCACAGCACTCACCATAGCACATACCCTCCTCGATGTCCATAACCCCACCACCCTCTCCCTACTTCCCTCCCCCCAGCAACCCTCAGTTTGTTTTGTGAGATTAAGAGTCTCTTATGGTTTATCTCCCTTCCGATCCCATCTTGTTTCATTTATTCTTTTCCTACCCCCCAAACCCCCCCATGTTGCATCTCCACTTCCTCATATCAGGGAGATCATATGATAGTTGTCTTTCTCCGATTGACTTATTTCTGCCTAGCAGCTTTTTAAAAAAATTCCCTACTCTACAACCCATGGTCAATCCCAAAGCATTCCCAATGGTCATTTTAAGCAACAAAATAAACGGTGACAGTGCTGGACCATAACTCACAAAACACAATAAATACCTATGAGTTCATAATGATATAAACAAATAACCAAATAAATAAACTGGGGAGAAGACACATGTTTACCCTATAGAAGAACTCCAGTGAATTAATATGGAAGGAATGAGGGATACTATTACGACCCCAGGGTAACAACTGCTGCAGGAGAGATGTACCAATGGATACCAAAATTAGTCGCTGAAAGTCTAAGCAAAAATAGAGTTTTTGTGGGGTGCCTGGCTGGCTGAGTTGGTAGAGCATGTGACTCAACCTTGGGGTCATGAGTTTGAGCCCCACGATGAGCATAAAGACTAGTAAAAAAAATTAGACTATCAAAACATCTCCCCCCTAATTACAATGGGAAAAGTAGTAAATTTACAGTGGAGAATCCTGTCAGACACCTCCTTAGCAGAGTGGTCAATGTTAACATCACCAGAAATAAGTCACATTGATATCATGAGCTTCCTGATACAGGGCCCGGAGAAGGACACAGCATCTCTGTGGTATACTTCCCAATAATATATAACCCCAATTTAATCATAAGAAATCAAATGAATGATCAGAAATCAGACAAACTAAAGTTGTGGGATGTTTGATAAAATGTGTGACTAGCGCTCTTCAAAAGTGTTATCATTGGGTGCCTGGGTGGCACAGTCAGTTAAGCGTCCCACTCTTGGTTTTGACTCAGGTCATGATGTCAGGGTCATGAGATTGAGGCCCATGTTCAGGCTCCACATTCAGTGTGGAGTCTTCTTAAGCTTCTCCTTCTTCCTCACTCCCCACTCCCTCAGGCATGTGCATGCTCTCTCTCTCTTTAAAATAAATAAATATTAAAACCAAAAACAAAGATGTCATCATGAAAAACAAAGAAAGTGAGAAACTGTCATAGATTTCAGGAGCCTATGGAGACCTGATGAGTATGTGCCATGGGGAATCCTGAATGCAGGTGAGAGAAGGAAGGAATATGGGCATTCTCACTCCAGGCCTGACAGAACCTCTGGAGATGAGCTAGTTTCATCTAGTAATTGAGAAAATCTTGGTAGCACTCAAATAGTAGGAACAAGGAAATAAATTTGTGGGCGGCAGATAAGACAATGAAAAGGATTTGGATGATGATTGAGAAAAGAGAGTAGTTTTCAGATATTGAGATTAGGCGTTTATGTCCCCTCATCAATGCCACTCTTTTCTGTTAAGGACAAAGGTGTTCTACACCTTCTGACATGTAGCTCTCCTGTCACCATGCACTAGTCCCCAAGCAGACCTGGCTTAAACACTCGTTGCCTCCCCCCCACCTTATCACTACCACCTGTGGACAAGAAGCCCTCTCTGAGCACAGAGACATTGTGTGGAGACCAGCTCTCACCCAGGGTTCCACACCAAAAAGTGATGCCACTCATGCTAATAAGCTTTGATATCCTGTTACTGTTCAAATCTGGGCTCTGGGCCCTGTTTGCACCTGTAAGATTTCTCTTCCACCCTGCCACTCCACTCTATTAGAGACTTTTTCCCTTGATTGACAGAGAGTAATGGGGCAGCCTGCTCCTCCCTGCAAGAAGGAAGACAGGGAGTCCTGGATTCCCTAGGCAGCAGTATATATAAATTCCACAGCCACTGCAGGCTTAAGAAGAAAAGAGATATAGTAGAGGGAAGGAGGGAGGAAAAAGCACCCTGGCTTCCAGCCCATGTGAATTCTCTTGAGATGAAAAGAAGAAACTGCTCTGCCACATCCCTTCTCCTGCTACTCCTTCTACTTGGGGGTTCAGAATTGGGTGAGTGAATTAACTTTGGAGAATATGAAAAGCTCCTCAGGGCCTTCAGAAATGGGGGTTGGGATCTATGGAGAAAAATCATCCTAGGACTCAGGCAGGGCCAGTCTTAAGCAAAGCTACGGAATAAGTGAATGAACTTTGAGAAGTTCCGGACCCTGCTATCTGCCCCCAACCTTCTGTCACAGGGAAGCAGGGTTCCCAGGGTCCTGTTCATTCTCTTTTTCACACCCTCTTTTTTTTTTTTTAAGATGTTATTTACTTATTTGACAGAGAGAGGGACAGCAAGAGAGGGAACACAAGTAGGGGAAGTGGAAGAGGGAGAAGTAGGCTTTCCACTGAGCAGGGAGCCCGATGTGGAGCTCGATCCCAGGACCCTGGGATCACGACCCAAGCTGAAGGCAGATGCTTAATGACTGAGCCAACCAGGCGCTCCATCTCACACCATTTTTAAGGAAATGATCTGCTTTTGATCATTTATACTTTATTTAAGTTTTCCTATTTTAATTCTACTAAATAGTTAATCCTATTAAATTTAATCCCATTAAATCCTATTTAATTCTTAATTTAAGAATTTTAATTCTTAAAAATAAAAGATGTGAGCTTTATTAGAGAATTTTGGGAATCAGCAGCAGAGAAGAAGAAATTCTTTTGGACAGAGGACCCAAAATTCCAAAATTTATGCCATGTAAGCTGCATTTATTCATATGAATAAATACTCCCAGGCCTGATGCCCTGCAGGTGGGGGCAGTGGGAGGTGCAGAGGCTTCATGTCTTCCTTCTACTTATGCCCCTGTCAATCTCAATCAGCTCACACAATCCGTCATGAGTCATGCTACCCCCAAACCAACTTGAATCTCACCTGCTTCCAATCCTGCCACTTCAGCTTCAGAACAGAACCAGGAACTGTCTCATTCTAAATCATATACTAAGCCATGACCTGAACTTAGTCTCTAATATGAATCACATCTCCTGCCTCATTTGTTTACCCCAGACATAACTAGATGAGGGGCAACACATACAAACATGGAGTAAGAACATCCAATCTGCTGAACTACTAACTCTGAGGATGGGAGTGGGAGGGGGGTATGATGCGGAGAAAGAATCAGGCTTAGTGTTCCACAGAAAGAGACCAGAACTGCAGAAAGCAAAACCAAAGGCTGGAAAACAGACATTCTAAGGTTATGGCTTAGCTCTGGATACTGCATATTGTAGAGCCAAGGGATTCCTTGTGGAATATGTTTTATCAGATTAAACCTAAAAAACCAGATGACCCTTAACTTAAATAAGTCCAACCATATTTTATGGGGAGACCGGCCATATAAAAGGGAAGGATAACTACTGAAACTATTAAGTAGAGCAGATGATAGGCTATCAAAGATCCACATTAAAAGAGATTATTTTTGAGTAGGAACAAGCCAAAATGTTTCCACTAATAACGCACTGAGCAGCCCTGATGACTCACAGACAAGAGAAAAATATACCAGTGATAACCTGAGCCTAAGCTCCACTGAGGACTACACTAGTGAACCCCTTATGACCTCTGAGGACTACACCTCTGCAGATGGGGGGACCACCGAGGACTACACCACTGCAGACGCGGGGACCACCGAGGACTATACTACTGCAGACGCGGGGACCACCGAGGACTATACTACTGCAGACGTGGGGACCACCAAGGACTACACCACTGCAGACGTGGGGACCACCGAGGACTACACCACTGCAGAGGACTACACCACTGCAGATGTGGGGACCACTGAGGACTACACTACTGCAGACCTGGGGACCACCGAGGACTATAGCACTGCAGATGTAGGGACCACTGAGGACTACACCACTGCAGACCCAGGGACCACCGAGGACTATACCACAGCAGATCTGGGGACCACCGAGGACTACACTACTGCAGGCATGGGGACTACCGAGGACTACACCACTGCCAATGTGGGGACCACCGAGGACTACACCACTGCAGAGGACTACACCATTGCAGAGGACTACACCACTGAAGATCTGGGGACCACCGAGGACTACACCACTACAGACCCAGGGACTACCGAGGACTATACCACTGCAGACGTGGGGACCACCGAGGACTACACCACTGCCAACGTGGGGACCACCAAGGACTACATTACTGCAGACATGGGAAACACAGAGGACTATACCATGGCCAACCCGGGGACCACGGAGGACCATACCACTGCAGACGTGGGGAACACCGAGGACTATCCCACTGCAGACCCAGGGACCACAGAGGACCATACCACTGCAGACATGGGGACCACTGAGGCCCATACCACTGCGGACCCGGGGACCACCGAGGACTATACCACTGTGGACCCGGAGACCACAGAAGACCATACAACTGCAGATCTGGGGACCACCAGGGACCATACCACTGCAGACCTGGGGACCACCAATGACCATACCACTGTAGAGGTGGGGACCACTGAGGACTCTTTTACTGCAGACCCGGGGACCACCAAACACTACACCAGTAAACATCCAGACACTCGCCCTGAGGGAACAGATTCAGTAACCTCAGTGAAACCCACTAGGCGGCTGACACCTATCGGAATCATCCTCATCTCCCTGGCCGCCACCACAGTGGCAGTTTCCCTCTTTGTTGGACTTGGCTTCTTTGTGGTGAGTATTGGCCCAGGAATGTGAAGGTCATTATAGGAAAAAGGGTATCTGAGGAAGAGGATGTGGGCATGAGGAGTTGAGGCATGATAAATTGTCAGAGGTGAGGAAACCTACATAAAGCTTTGGAAAGACAGAGGGAGATAGATGGGGAGAAAGGAGAGGAGCAAGAAGCATAAAAAATGAGGACAGAACTAAGGAAGAGAGTACGGTGTTAGAGATAGAGGGGGACATAAAGAAAGAGGGAAGGGGAAGAGAGTATGGAGGAAGATAAAGCAGACAGAAAAAGGAAAATAAAAGCACAAATACAGTAAGGCATGGTGAGAGCTAGAAAAAGGCATAAACCATTATGTATAAATAGATATAAAAATTTGGAAATTTTCATAAAAATATAAGAAATTGGTGGTAAGGGACGCCTGGGTGGCTCAGTGGGTTGGGCCGCTGCCTTCGGCTCGGGTCATGATCCCAGCGTCCTGGGATCGAGTCCCACATCGGGCTCCTTGCTCAGCAGGGAGCCTGCTTCTCCCTCTGCCTCTGCCTGCCACTCTATCTGCTTGTGCTCTCTCTCTCTCTCTGACAAATAAATAAATAAAATCTTTAAAAAAAAAAAAAAAGAAAGAAATTGGTGGTAAGAGGAAAGGATGAAATAGAAACATTTTGAATGGCCCACTCATCTCAAAAACGATGTTATTTTGTTTTGATTACCACCCACTCTGAAATTCTGCAGGAGATTTTTTAAAATCAGGTTTGAGTAGATTTTTATGAGCATGGCTACTCTATATTGGAGAGACAATTGGTGAGAGCTCTCACAGCGGGGCTCTAGGTATGTTTTGTCCTCTGAGGGGGCCCCATTGTTTCTACAAGAGAAGATAAAGACTCTATGCCAGCCTTGTTGCTTGCTCGTATTGACTTTTGGTCTAAGACCTAAGCCTTCAAGGTCTGACTTCTGCTGGATAGGGAAGGGCTGGTCCTTTTTGGCCATCCTGACCTAAGAATTAAGTTCCCATTGAAATCTTAACAAGTGGCAGCTTACATGAGGAGCTAGCTCACGCAGGTCATTAAGCCTCATTAAGTCTTTTGGTCATTGATGCTACTGTGCACTGACCTCTGCCCCAAGAGGCAAACCCATAGCTTGGGATCAATTTGTAAGTGTGATGTAAGCCGAAAAGAATGCATTATTCAGTTGGGGTGTTCATGTTTAATTCCACCAGAATCACACTATGAAACTAGAACATTCTGATGTCACACTATGAAACTAGAACATTCTGATGAATGTCTGACAAGAGGAAAACGAGAATAATAGCCTCTATAAGTACTTGATACACATGTGAGTCACACTGAGTATTTACTGGTAGAGGGAGGACCCTCTTGACTTCACTGTTACACGAACAAGTGGATTTCTAATTATGTGGACCACTATGAAAATTCAGACACTCTTGCACCAGGTTGGTGGATAGTTTCTGCCCTCCAACCCAGGCCTCTAAGAGCTGATACAGAGCAGTCACTAGCGATGGCACCTTCTTAACTTCTTATAAAGACTAAAAACAAGAGATGGTTCAAAGGACTCAGAGTACAGGGAGTAAGAGGAAAATTTGTATTCTCAAACTTGCTAATTGTTATAAACATTTAACCAAAAAATGTTTAAAAGATAAGAATTATCTATATTTCCGGGGCGCCTGGGTGGCTCAGTGGGTTAAAGCCTCTGCCTTCGGCTCAGGTCATGATCCCAGGGTCCTGTGATCGAGCCCCGCATCGGGCTTTCTGCTCAGCAGGGAGCCTGCTTCCTCCTGTCTCTCTGCCTGCTTCTCTACCTACTTGGGATCTCTGTCTGTCCAATAAATAAATAAAATATTAAAAAAAAAGAATTATCTATATTTTCATCTTACCCTCTAATTCCATTTATCAAAGTAGTTTTATTTTCCCTATGTGACTTCAAATTTTTTGGAAATTATGTACCTCTACAGGTAAGTGTCAAGCTCTAAAGAAAATGGCAACCTAGGAAGGAGTCATAGAGCTGGGAATAGGAGCTTGGTAACTCACCACAAGAGAGGAACTCTCCTAAAACTAAACCACTTTTTTCTCCTCTAGAAAAATTGCTTCCTGCAGCCATTAAATCCACCCACCAGCGTTATCTATTTTCCCCATGCCATGGACTGGAGTGCACCATGAAGCGGATTCCGGCAGTAACTATAATGGGTTCTAGAGCAAATTAGACTGCCATCAGTCTCTGCAAAACCATGAAGCATGATAGGCGTCCTCAGACCTCCACTCTTTTCCCCCATTCCCAACCCCTGAGAAAGGGCTTTAGATGAGAAACTTAGCTGGCTCTAGGAATAAGCACATCAGGGACACCCAGAAGGTTGCCAGTCTGCTCTGAGTATCCCCTAATTCTGTCTGGCCATAGTTGCTTCCTCAGGAAAATTGCCTTAACCTATCTACCAGGTTTAGTCATGAAAACTATTTGAGGGAGACAGACACAACTCAGGTATAAGAGATACTCATTAATTCTGATCAAAGAAATAAAGTAAATGTTTGTGTCTTTCTGTGTAGGTCTCATATCTAAATTCATTCATTTAACAAAATGATGGAGTGCCCAACATGGGGCAAACACTCTAACCATTTCTGTCTGCCAAATCTGAATCTGTGTACTTGAAGAATATAGCTTTCTGGTCTCTCAAGAGTACTACTCCCAAGTCCTCTCCACACCCAGGCCAAAGGATTATGTTTATAAGATGTAGCTAATTGGTCATTCAACAAATATCCAGTGAGCACCTACAGTAGGGACAGGCCACTGTAGCAAATAACTGAGTTTCATCTCTGCCATAGTGCGACATGAAGGGCAAAGTCTGATCCGACCTCTGACTTGGTAGAATATCTATGCCTATATGAGTCACTCAGGAAAGAATTTCTTTCATGAAAAAGCCTAGAAATGATGCTTAAGATGACTAAGACTACAGACAAGGCCCAAGTATCAAAGATAACAGCTCCCTGAGGAGTTTAGGACAAAAAGCAAAGAGTAAAGATATTTGAAGATGGTTGATTGTTTGTTGCCCACCCAGCCACTATTGCCAGCATCACTGCAACCTTTTCATAATGGAATTATAGTGTTATGGTCTAGAATCAGAAACATAGAGTAAATTACTATACTCTAGCTTAAGTCTGTTTCCAAAATTCACATAATGGCTATTATTCAAGTGTTGTCACTACAATTTGAGTAAGACACAAATTGTTTACTAGATAATGCTCAACACAGACAGGTACACTGACGATTTTTAAGAGATGACCATAGATATGTTTGGTCTATCAGTGTACTAGGGCACCAAGAAGCTAAAAGACTCAGAGATTCATCACCAGCTAGCTCAGTACTGTTGGAGCAAGTTCCCTAACTTCTCAGAGCCTCTTCCAATCTTTAACATAAAAAAACTTATTTAATAAATAATTATGTGTTACTTATTCAGTCATTTCTGAAAATGTTAAGACAGTCCTTGTTCTGGGGGGCCTGGGTGGCTTAGCTGTTAAGCAGCTGCCTTTGGCTCAGATCATGATTCCTGGAATCAAGCCCCACATCAGGCTCCCTGCTCAGCAGGAAGCCTGCTTTTCCCTCTCCCACTCCCCCTGCTTGTGTTTCCTCTCTCACTGTGTCTCTCTGTCAAATAAATAAAATCTTAAAAAAAAAAAAAAGACAGTCCTCATTCTATTCTTGTTAGTCTATGACAATTGTAAAGTCTGATCGTGCTTATTAATTTTATGTTGGTTTTACATCGGTCATAATAGGATCCAGAAAATGCTTACATTATGAGGATTTTAAAAATTACCACCTAAAGAAAACATATGTGGCAGAAATACGTATTTGCTTTCCAAATTCCATTCTTTGTTTCATACTTGGGGAACCCAAGTTTGTGTTGGGTGGCAATGTTCCCATTTCCCAGTGTCCATCGCAGCCAAGTGTGGAGATGAGATATGGTTCTGGCCAATGAAATGCAGGCAGAAGCCTCTGGGGCCATGTTCCCCTTAAAATGAAATGGCAGAGTGTGACCAGGAGAAAACACTTCACCCCTTCAGCCTTCACTCTTCTTTCCACCTGAAGTATAAGTATGAGACCTAGAGATGCAGCAAGCATACTGAGACCAAGAGGAGACACATGAGAAGGTGAAGGCTGTAATGCTGAGAATGGAGTAAAGAAATCATTTGGGTCCCAGGTGGTGCTGCTGTGGCCTCGTTGCTGCTCCAGACCCTTCATATATGAGACGAGTAATGTTCCGCAGCTTAGTTAGATGGCATTCTGTAATTCCAGCCAAATGGGATCCTAACTGGTATGACATGCTTTTAAAATATCATAAAGAACATGTGGACTACCATGGCCCCCATTTCAGGAAACACCACAGTAGGTCCTTTCTAGGCTAAGTGCTAAAGCATATTATACTCATTATGACACTTATGATTTATTGTATGTATCTATGCATGCCATCTCTTTAGATATACAGCTTGTCCCTTCATGTGAGTCCAGCCCCACTCAGCTAATCCTCCTGTTTTCTTTATAAAGTCCAGTGTTGAGAAGAATTCTTTAGGTATTGTTTAGGAGTGGTACCAAATCCAGATGACCCCAACTGGCACATGCTGTTACTATGCTGCCCAGATTAAGAAGACCAGGCAAGCACACACCTTACAGAATTGTGCCTGAACAGGATTTGTGCCTGGTTTGGCAAGTCACTCCTCATAAAAGTGTGTGTGAATGCACATTCTGGTCCCATCACCTGTCTTTGCAAACAAGAATACTTGTGAAGTTATCCAGCAATAGTGACTCAACATCCCCCCTACAGAAGTATTGTTTGATAACTTAGTGAACACATAATTGTTTTTTAAATGTAGTCATGACCACTCCTGTGATTTACCTACAAGTCCTCTCTGTAGTCTCTCTATATTTATTTCTTTTATGGAACTGATCACAAGCTGAACTTATCTTTACTTGTGTTTTAATTTATTTATCCCCTCTCTATCTCCTTTCACTAGAATCTTAGTTCTTTGAG